CCCCAAAACCCCAAAACCCCAAAACCCCAAAACCCCAATATTTCAACTACTCTTGCGATATTTCATATGAATATTTGCAGAATATTTGGTTATCAGATGTGTAATTTTGAGAATACCTATGGATGTTTCTTTGTTTCCAAAACCTTACATTATCCAAAGAATGGTTTATTTGAGTTTATGAATCATTATCTTCAAGTAGTTTAGAAGTTTGCTCTTCATCTTTATTTAAATCAAGCTTAGATTTCTTCAGATCTTCTTTTACTAGTACAGAAGCAATAAATGCAATGACAGCTCCAGCTCCAAACAAGACAAAAGACCACCATTTGCTATGATTTTCTACCATATAGTTGACCAATAAAGTATAAGGAATGGTTAAAAGAGATCCTCAAGATAATATAAAACCTCATCCAACTGCTTCATTAATTGGATGGATTATTTCTGCACAAAATGAGTTAGCAACTCCAATAATTGGTATTAAGCCTAATCCTACAAAGAATAATCCTATTGAAGTGAGCCATACCTCTCCAATATCGATGATTCCAGTTATTAATCCTATTGAACCTATCGAAAGTGCTCAAATAAGGATATATTGCAGCTTATACTTTCCATATTTATCGAGGAGGATGCCATGGAGGATAGATCCTGAAATTCCTGAGACGATAAATACGACTCCAAAGATACTGTTATCTGTGGATGAATACCCAAACTTTTCTGTGATCACGCTTACAGCTGCTCCCAAAGTATTGTAGATGGAATAAATAAAAGAGAAAACGATGTTTAGCAGCCAAAAATTTAGAGAAGATAGCATCTTTCCCATATCCTTCCAAAATTTGTTCTCTTCTTGCGCATTTTTATTAGGGTCTCTCATTTGCTCAGCAGACCTACTCGGAGGAGTATTTGGTTCCTTCCTCACAGTAAAGAAGCATGGAATGGATCACACAGTAACAGCTATAGATTGAACCCAGATGAATTGGTAGATTTGGTCTTTGGCTTTTTCAAAATTTGTTTCTTCATCGTCTACAAAAATAGCTGGAAGAGCAAATCCTATGATCAATCCTAGTACAGAAGCAAGACTAGTAATAGTAGTAATCAATGCTCTTTCTTTTTCTCCAAACCAAGTACTCGCTATTGTGGCTCCAAGAGCTTGAACAAATGGCATCCCAAGTGCATTTATTCACTGTCCGATTAGAATAAAGAAAAAGTCGACTTTCACTAGCATTCTTATCCAGGCTCCTGCGATAAATACAACACTTGCTATTCTGATTGGATAGGCAATTCCTTTGGCTTTGATCAATGCATTCGCTGGGACATTCACTGGTACGAAAATAATGGAGTAGCATAGCACAATCATTGTGGTCCAAATAGAGTTAACATCATATACCTTTGCCATAAAGGCGGTTATTGGAGAGAATCCAACCATCATCATTCCTAATCCGATTTGTTGGATTGAGAAAAAGATTCAGATTATCCATCTGTACGGGTACAAGATGTACTCCTTTTTATCTGAGCTTTCATCTGTCAGATTAGAGCTCTTATAGAGCTTGTAGCTGACATCCTCCGGCTGTTTGTACTCTAAAGATAGCTTAAAATCTTACCGCCAGGTTTAGAAGTAGACATTGATAAATGAAAATATATTTCTATATCTCCTGTGTAATAGGGGTTTTGGGGTTTTGGGGTTTTGGGGTTTTGGGG